CAGTTTAGGAATGAGTAATATTAAAACCCTTTTAATTTGAAGCAGAGATATGTAAAATTTGTATTTAGTTTTGAGACGCATTGCGAACCCCCTGATTAACAAATTCTGAAACCGCACTCCCTGGCCTAATGATCCTCTTGAATTCTCTAGTGGACGGTTTCTGTCCGGCGAGGCTGACGTTCGTGCCGTCCCGTCGAGGATGTTCTTCTGATAAAGACTGCCCTGGAGGACACAAATGCTGTCGATTTGACTGTGGGCCTGTTTGCGTGCTGCCTGTTTTCAGTGAGTTTCAGTTAATAATGGACGCTAAGGATCCCAAAAAAACCACAAACACGAGTAACGCATTTTATTCAATGCAAGTTTTAAGCAGAGACTTTGCCTTTTGTTCTCATCTAAAGTAGGTTTGAATTCATCCCTTAGGATCGTTTTAAGCACAGGATGGCTTTACAAAATAAAGAGTAATAATACTTGGAATATAATTCACTCTGTAGGTAAAACTTGCTATTCATGCTTTGAGTGTTTCGTGTTGTATATTGAAGTGGCATACTGTCTATGTGCACAAACTAAAGCTGACTATATCTGTGTCCACGCAGTGAAGCCGGGTCAATGTCCCATACCAGAGATGATTCCACTGTGTGCTGAAAGCTGTTTCCATGATGGCCAGTGTCCTGCCACACAGAAATGTTGCCCAACCACCGGTGGCTTTGCATGCAGTGAACCACGTGGTCAGGCAAGTTGCCAGGGCAGCGGTTCTGGCCAGGGCAGCGGTTCTGGCCAGGGAAGCGGCCAGGGCAGAGGTCAGGGCCAGGGCAGCGGTCAGGGAAGTGGTTCTGGCCAGGGCAGCGGTCAGGGAAGTGGTTCTGGCCAGGGCAGCGGTCAGGGAAGTGGTTCTGGCCAGGGCAGCGGTCAGGGAAGTGGTTCTGGCCAGGGCAGCGGTCAGGGAAGTGGTTCTGGCCAGGGCAGCGGTCAGGGAAGTGGTTCTGGCCAGGGCAGCGGTCAGGGAAGTGGTTCTGGCCAGGGCAGCGGTCAGGGAAGTGGTTCTGGCCAGGGCAGCGGTCAGGGAAGTGGTTCTGGCCAGGGCAGCGGTCAGGGAAGTGGTTCTGGCCAGGGCAGCGGTCAGGGAAGTGGTTCTGGCCAGGGCAGCGGTCAGGGAAGTGGTTCTGGCCAGGGCAGCGGTCAGGGAAGTGGTTCTGGCCAGGGCAGCGGTCAGGGAAGTGGTTCTGGCCAGGGCAGCGGTCAGGGAAGTGGTTCTGGCCAGGGCAGCGGTCAGGGAAGTGGTTCTGGCCAGGGCAGCGGTCAGGGAAGTGGTTCTGGCCAGGGCAGCGGTCAGGGAAGTGGTTCTGGCCAGGGCAGCGGTCAGGGAAGTGGTTCTGGCCAGGGCAGCGGTCAGGGAAGTGGTTCTGGCCAGGGCAGCGGTCAGGGAAGTGGTTCTGGCCAGGGCAGCGGTCAGGGAAGTGGTTCTGGCCAGGGCAGCGGTCAGGGAAGTGGTTCTGGCCAGGGCAGCGGTCAGGGAAGCGGTTCTGGTCAGGGAAGCGGACAGGGCCAGGGCAGCGGTTCTGGTCAGGGCAGCGGTTCTGGCCAGGGCAGCGGACAGGGCCAGGACAGCGGTCAGGGAAGCGGTTCTGGCCAAGGAAGCGATGGCCTGGGAAGCGGTTCTGGTCAGGGAAGCGGACAGGGCCAGGGCAGCGGTCAGGGAAGCGGTTCTGGCCAGGGCAGCGCTCAGGGAAGCGGACAGGGCCAGGGCAGTGGTCAGGGAAGCGGTTCTGTTCAGAGTGGTTCTGGTCAGGGCAGCGGCCAGGGAAGTGGTTCTGGTCAGGGTAGCGGACAGGGAAGCGGTTCTGGTCAGGGCAGCGGTCATGGTCAGGGAAGCGGTTCTGGTCAGGGCAGCGGTCATGGTCAGGGAAGCAGACAGGGCAGCGGTCAGGGAAGCGGTTCTGGTCAGGGCAGCGGCCAGGGAAGCGGTTCTGGTCAGGGTAGCGGACAGGGAAGCGGTTCTGGTCAGGGCAGCGGACAGGGCAGCGGTCATGGAAGCGGTTCTGGTCAGGGCAGCGGCCAGGGAAGCGGTTCTGGTCAGGGTAGCGGACAGGGAAGCGGTTCTGGTCAGGGCAGCGGACAGGGCAGCGGTCAGGGAAGCGGTTCTGGTCAGGGAAGCGGACAGGGTCAGGGCAGTGGACAGGGAAGCGGAAAATCTTACTAAGCCCAAACCTTTGAACAGTATTGTATTTATTTAATATCGATATACATGTTATATTATCGATCTGAAAATAATTGTTTTCACTTTCAAAAACTACATGTATATTGTATCTACCATGGTATAGGAAAATGCTAATCGTTCAGAACATTATGGTATACGTAGTATTAAAGACATTTATAATGTCACAAATCAAATAAATTCTGTTCTTTTGAACTTTTTGAACTTTCCTGAAAAAGTATCTAATAAGTATATAAGTTGACAACTGTTAAGCAGCACAACTATTCAAACTATTCACA